AAGTATTACATGGTACGAAAAAATGCAAACTCTTACAAACGAATGAATTACGTACAAACAAATGAACCTCTTCATCGTCATCAGAAGCATATAGCACGTTTAATAGTTTTGAGAGAACGTTTTACCCTAGCAAAGCCTCTATTAAGAAAAACGAATCACTACCCAGCTAAATCAAACATCCAACGTACTTGAACGGTTTTTTTAAGCTGGGTAAATATATATCAACTTAATATTTACTTAGATTTTATTAAACACTATTAACAACATTTTTTTTTTTTTTACGTTGCATTATTGTCTCCAGCTTTAGTTCATGATTATTGCACAAGCTTTTGATACTAAAAAAGGTTCAGGGGCTGTTTTATTTTTCAGCTGCGACTTAATAATATCATATGTCATTTTAATGTTCATCAGGCGAATAAATAAGTTTAGCTTGTTTTGTTCTATAATAATTGATATATCTTCAATAAAAAATAAGGTATGAATATAATTTTTGCTATCTTTTGAAACGTTGAGAAGTTTTTGCATTAACATTTTTTTATGTTCACACAGCTCAAGACCATACGTTAGTGTTGGAACAGCTAAATTTTATATAACTGAACAATGGAGTTTGGGTGAGCAAAACGGATTTCTGATTGAATTAAGGTTTGGATTACCGTCCGGAAATTAGTTATTCGGTGACCAATGTTTGATTTATAAAGTGAGGCAAAAGATGAAATTTTTGTACCCCATGTAAAGCCTAGGTGATAATGTTTAAAATGTTCTTTGTTTAATTTTTTTTATGTAAAATCAGTTCTTCACCGGTGGCATTATATTTTTATGTAAAATCAATTCTTCACCGGTTTTTTTTCATAATTTGTATTTGTCAAAAGATAAAAATAAATACCTTCTACGCAATAATAATTTTATTACGCAGCCATATTTTTAAACAAATTATAGTAATTTTGAATTGCTTTTTGCGGACCATTTTTATCAAACAAATCAGTTTTGAAAATTTTTTTTTTAGATTTTTATTGAACAATGTAACTACAACTCCTCTAAACGAAAACTTAAAAAATTAATTTTTACAATTGATGATTTGGTACTATTAATATATATATATTTTTTGCATATCCTCTTTTTAATGATAATATTAATAATAATAATAATAATAATAATAATAATTCAAATGCTGTTGAGATAGAGCCAGGCAATATCTATGATAGCCAACACAATAGTTGTCTAAAAATTTAACTGCAACCTGTTTTTCTTGTTCAATATTATCTACGAGTCAATCAGCGTAAGTCTGGATTTAAACTATTTGACTGATGTAGACTCTACTACCGATTCCGGTAAATTATTCGATCCGAACTCAACCCTGTTTGTAAAGAAGTGTTGTCTACAATTTTTAACAAACTCTGATTTAACACGATGTTTGTAACTTCTAATATTGGATGCTGGACCTGGTGTATTGATGGAATGCATTTTTCATTTAATTTTTTATTCTTATTTAGTAAACTTTAGATTTTATAAATAATGTTTTTTAAAATGTAACAAAGAACAAAAAAAAAAAAAGGATTTCCCGGGTAACACAAAACGTTCAAGCACGTACGACAAACGTTCCAGCACTATCCAGCACGTACTATAAACGTTATATAAATTTCCCTGAAAATTAAAAATTAAAGTTTAAGAAATATTGTCTCAATGCTCTTTTAGGTTCGCGTAACGTTTGCTGCAAACGTTACGTGAACCAACTTTAGTGAACTCCGGTTTACAGTTCTTGAAAAATTTATTTGTACTTAACTACAAATTCACCATTTGTTACAACTAATTTAAACAGAGCAGTTTTTTCACTATGAAATTTAAAAGTGGAAGTAAACGACACTATAATACTAATAATTATTATCTCCCATTATAACTTTGTTTTTTATAAATATTGGTAATTATAATTATGAACTTTATGTTCTGCTCTGCGCGTAAACTTTAGTGCCGATTAACTCCTTGTTTTCATTATTGTTCGTTGCAATAAGTTGAAAATTCATATTTAAGTTATTTAGCATACATATTAGATTAGAAATTTTGTCTAAAAAGTTGAAATAAATTATTATCTTTTACATATATCATTGTTCTTTTTTGAGTTTGGATTGTTTACAAGGTCGCTCTTTTCATTTCAACCAGGTTATATGAGAGTAAGCCTTTTAGTTAATATTATATTGTTTAAGAATTAATGCATAATATTTACTAAGTAATATATAGATAGTGTTCGAATGACGTCGCGATATGAACAGTATTATTCCAACGCCATATTGTAGGTAAAACAAATGTGCATTGGTATTAGGAGTTTTAACGTAAGGCTAATACACTGAATTGAATATTTGACATGCGCTATTTTCAGATGTCATGCGCAAAATTTAAGGTAAATAAACATTTACCGAAATGAAAATGATTTTTTTGAGAATCTTGTTTACTATTTAGCATTGGCTACGGATAATATTTTTTTCCACTTTTTTTTTCCTTCATACAAAAGGATATCTAGAAATGTCAGATGCAGTATCTGACGAACCTGATGATAATGTACTTTTAAACAAAATGACATTGCAAAAATTTAAAATTATTTCTATTGAATACAATTGCTTCAATAAACATAACATTAAAATTTTGAATATTTCTGTCATTAAGAAAAAAATCACCGTAGGGAGATCAAGAAACTTTAGTATATCTCTAGTTGTTTTTTTGTTGACATAATCATCAGAACAAATGAGAAATGGACTATAATATTACTTTATATATACTATTATATACTTTTTAGAGCGATGGCATCGTGTGAGAAAACGGTACTTGTAAACATTGAAACAGAAGAGTATTATAGAGTCTCAATAAATGAATGCAATAAAAAGCTTATACTAGATGGGCACATCATGCCAGGTTCTTTATCGATATAAAAAGAGTGAATGTAAAAGCGAATCTCAAAATGGTTAAAATGGCCGCCTGTTTGTAGCAACGATATTTTGAGTTGCGATGAAATAACATCTCCAAAAAATGAACACGTCATGTGATCTTTTACACGGATTACACTGTGAGTATAAAGAAGGTATAGGTTTTTATATTCTAAATGTTACTTTCTGAAGGAAATCATTTGGTCAGGTATAGATATAAACTCAAATTTTTGCATGCTTAAAACGATCTTGTGAATTTAAAGCCATATTACACTTATTACACACATATTTCAAATTGCATCAAAAACGTTTTAATAGGTAGGTTTTTTATATACACTCATCATAAATATTATTTAGAAAAATTATTTTTGACAACATTTACTGGAATGAAGTTATCAAGAACCTAATTTACATTTTTGAAAACTATTTGGCAAATCGAATTTTAAAATGAGTCAATCAAAGTTCTGTCATTAAAACAGATTGCGCTCAAAACTAGGGATTGTAAATATACCAACTTTTTGATTTACTAGTAATTCGGTAAATGAAAATTGTAATACCAGCAAATCGGTATATTACCGATAAACTTTATATATAAATAAATCAATACAACTTTTAAAAAATACCATTTTTCAAAAAGTAGCGTCGTAGAAAGCTTAAACTATCTAATATCTTGTCTCCTAATAAAGATCTAATTTTAATACAAATTAGTCCAGTTCCTGAAAATACTCTTTCAGATTCAACACATTCCAACTCTTTTTTTATAACTTCTTATAGACCTTTTAAGTTACTTTCTTTTAAAACAGTTATCCCTTTATTCTTGTCCGTTTGTATTTAAAGAAAAATATGAAGTTTTTCCTTCATAGAAAAATCTGTATTTGGTTTAATAATAATGAGATCGTTATTTTAATCCGAATCTGATTCATTTAATTGTCTTTGAATACTCTCACGAGATTCCACATTATTGTACAAAATATTCTCTACAATGACAACAATAATTTTAACAATTACGGCTTTACTGCTTATAATATTTTTTTTTTGTTCTTTCCTTGAATATTCAATATTTACAATAAGATACAATTTATACAATAAGATAGTTAAGATAAAAAGCGTTATACAAAAAAAAATTATACAAAAAAAGAACGCGGAGACTCGCAGAAAACCTTCAGGTTTTATCTTCGAGAACCTCTAGTGAATATTAAGTACATTAAAGTAACATGAAGTATAAAATAAAAAAAACATAACAATGTCGTACTAAAAATTAGTAATAACTAGCGAGAGCGTAAATTTCGCAATAATATATAAATAAAAGTGGAATAAAGAAAATTTTGATACTTTTATATATAAATACAAAAAAAATTAAAAAGTATTGTTTTCATAAACACATAAGTTGTGGATCAGATATAATATTTATATATTACCTTATGTAATAAACTTCATATTCATTTTTAGAAGAATTTAAAAATATAAAATATTAAAAATGCAATAATTGTTATTAACAGAAATAACATCATTATGGTCTGTTATATAGTGTAACACGCCTGAAATTATCATTCTTCTTTCTTTAATACAACTTATTAATTCATTTTTTAGTGCAATACTTAAAAAAGTGTTTTGGTTACTTAACTCGTCTAACATAAATTTTAATGTAAGATCGTCTACATGTAAACTAACCTTTTCAGTGCAGAGTGTTTCGATGGCCAACCTAACAGGTTGAAAGGTTGATATTATATTTGAAAGTAATTTTACTTCACTTTCATTAAAATCAATGTTAATTTTCAAATCTATCAGACTTTTTCGAACAGCATCTTTAGGTTTTAAAAATCTTACGAGCATGCTTAATAAACTACTCCATCTAGTTCAGTGGTTCCCAACCTTTTCTAACCCGTTCCCCAAATTAAATATCCTAAAATCTTCATGGACCCCTTTGATTTTAAAAATTATTACAAGGTGAACATTTTAATAATGTAACTTTTATTCATAAGGATAATATTTTATTTAAGGTATTTTTGAATAGACTAGACACAAAATCAATATTTATCAATGACACAAAAATTTTTTATCTTAGTTTATGTATGATACAAGAACAGATCAGTGTGAATTCTGACACTGCTTACTAGCAATTAATATCTGAAAATTTGGTTTAGTTTTTGATAGAGCACATCTAATATCTGCATCAATATCAAGTCTATTTCTTTTTTTTGTTTTAAGAGATAGCATTGCTGAAAACCCGGCTTCACACAAATATGATGTTGAAAAAGGAATAAGGGCTTTAAGTGCAATTGATGAACACAATGGATATGAATTTCTCATTTTCAACCAGAAGTTATTTAATGGTGCTACTTTGAAGTGATCCTTAGCCGTGGTGTCATTCTTTAACTCTATAAACTCTTCTTGTGCTTCCTCTTTCACATTTTTCACATCACAAGAAAATGGTGATATAATAACTTCACTGCTCAAAAGATTCATATCTGGAAAATAGTTACCAAATTCAGTAATCAAATTATCTAGGTGACAAACTATTTCTGTCTTTATAACTTCAGGAAGCATGTTAACTCCAATTATGTTATTTAAATTTTGAAACATGATCAAGTTTCCATTATTAATTCTAGTTTTGTACAGTTTGAGCTTTTCAATAAATGCCTTCAGTTTATCTGAATGTGTAATAACATTAGCATTTTTGCCTTGAAGTTGCAAATTTAACTTGTTAAAATGACCTACGATGTCCACAAGATAAGCAGTTGTTATTTCAAAATTATCAAATTCAAAATATTCTACCAGTCCACTTTTCATTTAACATAAAAATTCTTTCACTTCATTTCTAAGCATGAAAAATCTTTCCAAAAAATTTCCAGCAGATAGCCATCGCACAGAAGTATAAAACAATAACTTATTGTGTTCAGCATTTAGGTCAGAGCAAAATTTTGTAAAAAGGCGAGTGTTAAAAGCAGAAGATTTTATATAATTGACCAACTTGATTAATTGATTAAATACAGTTTTCAAACTACCTGGTAAAGTTTTGGTTGCCAAAGCCTGTCTATGAATAAAACAGTGTACACCAACTACATTTGGAGCAATCTCTTTCACCCTAGTCTGTAATTCAGACTTACAACCCATCATGGCAGGAGCTCCTTCAGTAGTAATTCCAAACAAATATTTCCATTGTAATTGATTGTCATTGAAAAACTGTTTTAAAATTTCCATAATATTAGCTGCTTTTGTTGTTGTTTCAAGGCAAGAAGAAAACAAAAATTCTTCTTTAAATTTGTTATTGTGAATATACCTACAATATACAATTAGTTGTGCCATTGAACTTACATCTGTGGACTCATCCAACTGAATAGAAAAATATGGGGATTCTTTAATTTCATTAATAACATTTTCTTTAATGTTTGATGAAATATCCGTTAGCCTTCGTTTGACTGTAGTATTTGATAAAGATATATTATCTACCTTCTTTGCAGCTTCTTCTCTAAATAATAATCTAACGATTTCTTTTGTACATGGAAGTATAACTTCTTCAGCCAATGTGTGAGCTTTTTTGTTCTGTGCTATTATATATGAAACCTTATAGGATGCTTCTACTATATTCTGTTGAGTTTGGTAAATAATCCCAGTTTTATCCAATTTGCATCTCTTCAGTGATTCAAATTTTCTTTTGAAAAAATCAGTATCTTTTGTTTGGAGATCAGGATGGCACTTATTCAAGTGAATAGCAAGCTTTGAAGGTTTCATAGAGTCATTTCCTAGTACTTTATAACAAATAACACACTGTGGGTAGCTAATGGTTTCTTTATCTAAGTATGACCTTTTTTTACTTTTAGACATCTAAAGTATTTAAAAAATAATATAAAAAGCATCTATAGATAAGAGTAGTATAGTATCGAATTTTTATAGAAAATAACACAAATTACGTTCTTTCAAACAAATCAGTAAGGTTATCTTTACCATGAGATAAGATTTTAACATTTTAAATTTACGGATAAAAAATGATATTATATAGCATTTATTACTTCGTAGAGGTCCGCAAGTCCTCGTCGAATTTGTTAACGCAAATTTTGTGTAACAGCTTTCTCGCATAAATTACATTTTTAATTTAAAATTTAATTTGTTTCTTTCAACAGAAAAAAATAATCAAAATTAAGTTTCACTACCAAAAAATATTTAGAATTTACGTTTATCTTGTGGTCCGCTTAAAAAGTTCTTATGGACCCCCAGGGGTCCATGGACCACCGGTTGGGAACCACTGATCTAGTTTTACAGTCTAAAATTAAAGTTCTTTTCCGACAGTTTCTTTAACGAATTTTTGCAGTAGTTTATCATTTTTGGTTGGTGATTTTCTGAAAAGTTTTACAACTTTCTGAATCTTCGCAATTAAATAATTTAGCTCTGCTTTTTGTAGAACAAGTTGGGTAGTGTCGATACTTTCGTGGTCTAACTCAAAATTCCCAAGTTCACTTTCCGAATAATCAGAATCAACATTAAGTAACACATTACCATCATGTTCATTAATATTTTGTACATCTGTTGAACTAATATTATAAAGTACTTTAATGATTGCCATTTGTATGCCATTGTTCATCCGTTTATTTATTTAAAAAAATTTTAAAAACTACAAATTTAGTTTTAAATTTTACAAATCAGGTGTCACTCATATAGTTAAAAACTAGTCAAAAAAGTGACACAAAAATAAAATAAACAAAAAATAAATTAACAACAACAGTATTATTGAATAATACAAAACATAAATTAACATAGTTAAAAAAAAACACGATGAAAATATAAAATACAACTAATAATCTTAATGATAGAGTTAAAATAATGCGATAGTAATATGTAATTTTATTATCACACATTATGTAACACAATATATAATAACAATGATAAAGTTTACATAACAATAACAGTAGTATATTAGAAAACAATAAAAATAACAATAATAATAATAATAATAATAATAATAATAATAATAATAAGGCGCGGATTTAGAGGGGGGCACAGCCGGCTCGTGCCCCCCCCCCCCTAAAATTTATTAAATTATTTATTTATAGTTATGATCCATTCTCAGGTCAGATATTCACTCTATAAAAAAAAAGGGTACTGGAAACTGTCCATTTTGGGTTGTCATTTCATTAAAAATCATTGGCGGCTGATTATAGACCCCAGAAGGGGAGGGGAACACCCCCTCCCCTTAAACTACACCCCATTTGTGCCCCCCCCTATCCTTACAACCTGTATCCGCCCCTGATAATAATAATAATAATAATAATAATAATAATAATAATAATAACAACAAAAACAATTATAATAATAAGGATTAAAATCAAGCAGTTATCACCGTTATAAAACCATCAGACACAAAAATACACGTAACAAACGAAAATATAATATTGAAATAAAAAAGAGTATGAGAAAAAGAAAAAAAAGAAAATTGAAAACAGTAACAAAAACAGTACCAATATTTAAAACAGGTGAATCATACTTAATTAATAACTATAGACCTATCTTGGTACTCCCTACCTTTTCTGAGCTTCTCGAAAGAATAATCTATAACAAGTTTTATGAGTATTTATTCCAAATAGAATCCTAAATAAAAAGCAATTTGGTTTCCAAAAACAATATTCAACTGAACACGCAATTCTAGATCTAGTAAACGATATAAGTGATTCTTTTGAAAAAAAACATTATGTTCTAGGTATCTTTATAGACCTGCAAAAACGTTTGATACTGTAAATTATAATATCTTACTTAAAAAAATGGAAAGCTATGGGATAAAAAACGTAACCTTTTAAAACTATTTAAGTAACAGTCAATGTGTTTTTTCGGATAATTATAAACAACAATGTGTTTTTTCAGATAATTATAAACACTCAAAACTACTAAGAGTTGAGTGCGGCGTCCAACAAGGTTCCATTCTTGGACTTCTTCTGTTTCTTCTATATATTAACGACAATACAAAATCCTCGGAAAAACTTAATGTAATTAATCGCTTTATTTTTCTTACATCTAAAGTTATCTTACGTACACTAATATTACACGGGCAAGTACACACAAATAAAAATTGAGTACTATTTACATAAGTCAAAAACATGCATTAACATTAATTTATAAAAAAGATAAACTCACCCACGTTAAACCCTTCTAAAAACTTTGAATGCACTAAATGTTTACCAAATCAACATCTACTAAAATGTACTATTTATGCTTAAATACAAACTTGGACTAATCTCATCGCAATTTTTAGATAACTTCTTTCAAGTAAACTCTAATAGGTATATAACAAGAGCAACAGGCAACTTCACACTGTCCAAAAGAACAATAAAATTCTAACGATTTTCTACTTCCTACCGGGGTCCGTACGTATTTATAACAAAATCATATCCAAAAATATAGAACTTAAAGTATTAAATAATGCTGCCAACTAGAAGAATAAATTAAAACACCTCTTCCTAAGTATCAATTTTTCTTGATTCAATTATTCAATTTCTTTTACATTATCTTATTATTTTTCTAATTTTAAAAACTTCTTTTAAACTGTTGAAACCCGCTATTCGCAATGTCATTTTAAAGGTTTCTATAATTTTAGTGTTAATGGTTATCTTCTTTAATTCGTAAACCTTTAGTCACATGTTTGACCTTTAGTCACATGGTTGACTTTTAGTCACATGTTTGACCTTTAGTCACATGTTTGACCTGGGCATTTACATTCGTAAGAGTTCATCCATTTGTCGGGAAACTTGGTTTGAATCCATCGACTATTCTTTTAAGGCCATTCCTTTAGTACCATTTCACTCTATTGTCTTTCTCTTTGTTCTATATCAATCTCCTTCATCTCAAGACTGCATTCTTTTTAATGTTATATACGATAAAATTGACCAAGCCCTCTCTCTTTTTATCCTTTAGCCAACATCGTTGTTGTTGGTTACTTTAATGCTAATCACACTGAATGGCTTGTCTCTATTGTCAGTGACTCTGCAGCCGTTAAGGCTCACAACTTTTGCCTTTCTCAATCTCTAACTCAAATAGTCAACTTTCTAACTCACTTTCCAGACAACCTAAATCATTTACCTCCTCAACTAGACTTATGTCTTGTTTCTGATCCTAGTTAGTACTCATTTTCTCAGTTTCTCTCACAGTTTCTTTGTGATGGACGTTGGGTAGGAATCTTTCGTTTTTCTGTAGACAAATGTGTTTCTTTAATAACTTCTTGGATTTAGGTTAGCATAGACTCTTTTATTCCCTCACGACAGTTCTAAGTCTTGTAATAATAGTCTTGTTTAAGTTCTAAGCCTTGTTCTGCTGCGATATCCAATTGAAACCATTACTTTTATATTTACAAGCATAACGATTCTCCAGAAAACAGATCTCTGTTTACTATTGTTAAAAAGCATTGTAAAAAGGTTTCAGTAAACGCCAAAACCCGCTATTATTAGGTCACAAAATCTCGTATTTCATCTCAAAAATAAGGCTCTCGTGGCTTCTGGAGAATCGTAAGTGTCAATTATAAGAGCAAATCTGTTATTCCTTCTCTCTTGTATGGTTCAGATTTTATCACCTCGCCTGAAGACAAAGCTGATTTATTTGCTAAGAACTTTTCGTCAATATTATTTCTTGATTCCACTAGTTCAACTGGATATAGCCGACAAACAAGTTAATGCATTGCTTGACATTCCTATCTCCAGATTCTGTGTCTAAAGTAATTTCATGCTTAAACTCGTCTAACTACGGTCCCATTAACCTTCTTTCTATCATAAGCAAGTTTTTTGAATCATTAATTAACAAACACTTAATCTTTCATATTCTCATATTCAACAGTCGTATATAATCATACCATCTTTGCAATGACATCGCAAAATGAAAGAAGAGTTTGTTTAACTGTGAAAAGTTAAAAAAAAAAGTTTTATGAAGAAAAAGTAAATCAAAAAACATTTTGGCAATAAAAGTTTAACAAGAATAAAGGATTTAAGTAAATAAAAATAATAAACAAGAAAAAAAAACCGAAACAAATAAAAACAAAGTTATAAGAAAATAGTCTCCGAAAATGGAAAATAATTTTTGCTGTCACCAATATTTTATGGAATGAAAAGAAAAAAAAACAATTTTAATTAATTTTGTACATAGTTTATAAGTCGTGTATTTATGCATATAAAAATTGTTGAATGTATTTTTTTGCATTTTTCTTTGTCAATTTAGTTGTTGTTGCTTTTTCTATATCTTTACTATTGTTTTATTGATATTTACTTTTGTTTAGTTAATCTATATTAAGGCGTAATATAGGATTTAATATGGTATGTAGTAGTGTATGTATATACTTTTTTTTTATTTAAGTTTGCCTTTATTTTGGTTTTTTATAATTTTCAGCAAAAATTTTTTTTCTCACTCTATCCTTTTGAACTTATGTAATTAAAATTTTTGTTTTCTCTTACATTTTTTTCTCACTCATCTTATCTCATTCGTTCATTCTCTCTTTTTTTTTCTTTTTTTAAGCCTAATTCCTATATATTTTTGTTCTGATTCCAACTTTTTTAATACTGTTGTTCCTATTACTTCTTTTTTTATTACTTGTATCAATGTAGTTTACTTTCTTTATCAATTCCTTGTTTTAATATTTTTTGTTTATTTTATTTGTTGATTTTATTAAGGTGTCACTCCATTGACTAGTTTTTAACTATATGAGTGACACCGAACCTAACTTTGTAAATTATAATTAAATTTGTAATTTTTCATTTTATGGTTAAATAAATGGATACAAAAAAAAAAATTGAACCTTTTAACTTACTTTCTGATTATCAACTTCGTTCTAAAGCTTCTTAAGATTCTATTCCTAATCTCAATAAATCTCAATTCCATTTTTTTATGGAATAGTGTTGCCATATCTGAAGCGGATCTTCCAATGATGCTCTTTTTTTTTTTAGAAAAGGTACAAAAACGCATTCTAAACATAAATGTACCTGCTCTTGCAGTCAGGGCCGTGGAGAGCTGGTACCGGGACTGGGGTAATATCAAACTGACGGGCCCCCTCAGGGCTTAGGGCTTCAGACATATGAATAATACTACTTTTGATACAAATAATTTTTTAATTTGACTATATACAGTATTTTATTTACAAGTATATTTTAAATATAATACAGTGAAAAATTATATATGATTTAACTACAACAAAATTAAAATATATAAAACCTGTAAGTTAGATTAAAACTTTCCTCGCTTTCCTACTGGCAAAATCAGCAATTACACTGTCAAAATTGATCTTTTTTGTTGATTTCCCAAGCCAGAAACTCTACCTTGCGTCATTGTTGATCTTAGATCATTTTTTATAAGCGCCAGTCTGCTAAAAGACCGTTCAGCTTGTGCTACCGTAACTGGTAATGTACAAAAAATTCTCAGGCCAATACAAATGTTGGGGAAAAGACATAAGTTTCAGGTCGTTGATTTTATTGAGAAGAAGAAAGGGGTCCAAATCATTTTTGATGTTAACATCATGGATAAATTTCAAATGCAAAAGCTCATCAATCAGCTCCATGGAAACATCATCCTTGTATTTATTCACAAAATCCTTACTCCTTCTGCGAATTTCTTCCTCTTCGTAATGATTATACTTCCAGAGATAGTTAAAACTTTCGTCAATTTCATATGCAGCTTCATATCGTCTACTGATATTCCCTATAATGCAGTCCAATAATATATAAAAAACGTTTTGTTTAAAATTATTTTCAGAATTTGATAGAGAAATTTCATCAGGTGTCTCATCAGCAAATCGCTTCCTAATTTTTCGCCTAGGTTCTGGAAGTTCTTGAGAAATGTTTAAGGCGTTTGCAACTAATTTACTCTCCACCATAAAAGAATCCCATTTATATCGAAGAGTTTTTAATTCATCAATTAGTCGTTTGATGTTGGTCACTTCTACATCCAATGTAGCATTCCGTGCTTGCAAAACAAGATTGGTGTAATTGATAGCAGTAAGTACTTTGAACCATATAGCGGACATCAGAATGCATTCAAACGATTCCATATATGAAATAATCCCATTTAGATCAGCACGATTTTCTATAGACAAATTTAGGTTCCTTAAGTTTGGGACATGCTATGAAGAGACGAACCAATATATTTTTTTAAAATTTCCCATCTTTGAGGACTGCTACTAAATATGTTATACAGTTTTTGCACTATCCCAAAGAAAGTTATCACTTGAGGACAACATTCAGCAGCTTGTGCACCGCATAAATTCAGACTATGACAAGCACAGGGAGAGTAAGTAGCAAGTGGATAATGTTGAAGAATTTGAGCTTGTGCTCCCTTGACTGAACCTTTCATATTACTCCCATTGTCGTATCCTTGTCCACGACAGCACATCAGTGGTATTTTATGTTTCTGAAGAGTAGAAGTAATTATATTTGCAATATCTTCACCAGTTTTTTTATTGCAATCTACAAATTCCAGAAATCTCTCTTTTACCTCATATTTTCCTGTCAATTTGTCCTGTAAGACGTATCTTAAAATAAAAACATTTTGCTCAATATGAGCTGTATCAGGCGTTGCATCCACAATCATTGAAAAATATTTGCATTTCTCCCTCTCATCTAATATCACATCTGTGACTTTATCTGCACAGCACTGAATAAACTCATTCTGGATATCATTTGACAAATAATGTGCTTGCATTCGCTTATGGCTCTGTTGAGAAGCTTTTACTTTTTCGAGATGATTATGTAGAATGGAATCGTAATGACCAATGAGTTCCATAATTCCCAAAAAATTTTTAGGGTCACCAATTAGATGACTATCGCCTCTAAATGCAAGACCTCTTTCACCCAAAAACAAGATAACATCTAATACTCTACGAAGTATTTGCCTCCATCTTTCCACTTCTGTCTTTATATTATCATTTAGTAGAAAATTGATAGTTGTATTATCTCAGAGATTTTCTTCTAATCGTCTCCATTCTACACATCTTATGCCCACTGCTGGATTGATGATGAGGAATTTTTTCATAAAGTTTCTTCCATTTATTGTCCTTGGGCTTGGAATATCCTGTTGGCAGAGATAATGCCGATCGATGGGTTTCTGGCATTTTAGAGAAAAGTCGGCAGGGAAAACAGTAAAGTGCATTCTTCGTCTTACTCCACGTTAGCCAATCTCGTGGAATTTTTTCGCCATTAGGCATGTGAAATAACGTGCGCGGAAATGATTTAGGCAATGCATCTTTTGGAAATTTTGTTGGGTGAGCAATGGGTCCATGATGAACAAATTTTTCTATTTGTTCAGCAGTGCAAAATAATTCCTTAACTAAACCAATATCATAGTTATTTGATGGAACTAGTTGGACATCATCTGCCTTGTCTTGTAATTCTTCTAGCCTTGCAGTTGATGTCTTTGGAAGAATATTTTCATTTTCGTCTATTACATTCTCTTTCACATCAGCACTCATAACTTTCCTATTTAACAATTCATCTTCCTCAATTGGCACTATCTCTACTTCAACATTTGAGAGTTGTGACTTCATCTTGCACATCTGATCCTCATAAACACCATCAATACGATTACAATTTATAAATTCAAAAGACTCAATCGTACTTTGACCCTTCTTGGCTGATTTTTCTCGAGCAATCTTTTCTTTTCTTTTTTGAGCACCAGATTTATGCTGGTAATGATCCATAGCTGCATGTAGTAGGCTGCCTATGCGAGGTCCTGTAATAATAGAACAAAAATTTATTAGTTAAGTTAATAAGTAAATTGACAAATTGAAATAAATGACAATTAATAATTGTTAAAAGTTAAAATAGAAGTTCAGTTTAATGTACAGTACAGTATATACTGTATAAATAAAATAGATATATGTATATAATATATATATATATAACTTTATATATTAAATTATATATATATATATATATATATACATATATATATATATATATATATATATATATATATATATATATATATATATATATATATATATATATATATATAATATATATATATATATATATATATATATATATATATATATATATATATATTATTTAAATGAAGAAAAACAACATTATAATAGTACTTAAAGTTTCGTGCCTTACGGCAATCATCAGCTATTAATTACAAATTAAAAATTAAAAATTAACGTTTAAAAAACGAATCAAAATTTTACAGTAGAACGAGTTCTGACGTAATTTGAAAAGGCGCAATCATTTAATCTCCAGTATTAAACGAAGATAACAGGAATTTATTTAAATGTCGACATTTAGATAATATTTCGTCTTTTTTATTAAGCAGGTTGTTTCCATTAAAAGATAAAATTTCTAACTTCTCATGAAGACAAAGTTTGCAGGTTTTATATATATATATATATATATATATATATATATATATATATATATATATATATATATATATATATATATATATATATATATATATAAATATATATATATATATATATATATATATATATATATATATATATATATATATATATATATATATATATATATATATATATATATATATATATATATATATATATATATATATATATATATATATAGGCCTATTATATATATTATATTATATTATATACTTATATTATATGTATGCTGAGTAAGTTTGTTTTTCAATAGTTTTACTATAATAGTTTTATTATAATTTCAATAGTTTTACTATAATAAAATAAACAAAATGTTTTACTATAGTAAGTTTGTTCGTGTTGTTCTTAAAAGGAAAAAAGTTATTTTTTATTTTAATTTCATGTGTTTATGGATTTAAAATACATAATTAATTTAAGAAAAAATAATTCTAAAGTGCATTTGTGATATCGCACTAATTGACTATCAACCACATAATTTTCTAAATGTTGTTAGAAAGTTTCTTTTTACTTAGTAAGTTTAGTTTCATGAACTAAGATATTAAAGGAAATCAATTTAAGATAAATTGTATGCAATCTTTTCAGGTTTCGAAAAAAACTTTTGTTAATGTAAATAGTGGTTTTAAATACATTATTACTAGAATTCAAATCAGAGAAGCCAAAATAAATTTGTTAAAAGAGAAATTAAAACTAACTCTTACAAACTATGGCATAGAAATCAAGTTTGGCTTCATTCAGCTTTTAAAACAATTGATTTAATCACCAGGTAATCAAGAGGGTTTAATAAATTAATCAGCAAAAAGAGGTAGACCAACAAAAAAGTTTGATTAATCGAGTTCTAGCTCCAAAAGACTATTGATAGCAAATATAGTATATAATTTAAAAACGGAATCCTTTGAAAAAAATATTGTTATTGGCACAAAGTACAGCGTTTAACAAACATGATTTAAATTCAGTTAAATGAGTTGAATTGCAAAAGAAAATGACGTCGGAAAAAGCTTTTGCACATTTTTTGGATAACAAACATTCAAAAAGTGTTTATGAAAATACTCATAGAGAAGCACCATGCAGAGATTTATCTTATCAAGTAATTTTCGAATTAAAAAATAAGTGCCTAATATAAAAATAACGATTGAAGTTAATGAAAAAAAGTTCAAAGTTAAACTACAGGATCTTATGGAACACACATCCAAGTAGCTTGTGAAAATACAGGAAAGAGAAATTTTAAAACATTTGAATGATAAAAAAAAGACTTTGAAGAATTAATACCCAAATACTAGTTAGTTATGAACGAACATTAAGTCACTCAAAATATTATTAATGTTTTGATAATTCTAATCAAAATAAACTTTTAAGATTCGGATCAATTGTCATAGAAACATCAACTCTTCAACTATATGTACAATCAGATTCAAATAATATGTTATGGAATAACATAATTTCTCAGAGTATTAGATTCTATCGACCAATTATATATAATAAATAATATATATAATGAAGTATATAGTGGAAAATAAAGAAGCGGTATTAATAATTAAGAAGGAAATTGAAACAGAAATTTTTAATTTATTTCCTGTCAAAGTTAACCTTCCAGAACATAAATTTTTATAACAATAGTTTTGTTCTTTTAATGATTGATGGGAAAATTGACACAATGTTGTCTGAATGTTATCCAGGATTTGTACTATGGGATTTCACCACTACATTCTTGCATCAGAAATTTTTGAATTTTTTTTTATTTTCTATATAGAGTTAAAATAAAAACTTGGAAAGTAAAAAAGGTTTTAAAAGATCAATACTTAATGAAAAAAAAGTTATTCACGATAGGATGTTTAAAGAATTAGGTTTGAGAATTGATAAACCAAGAGCTGACGAATCAGGAACTAGTAATATCGAAGGTTTATGTCGATAACCTTTTTCTGACCCTCTATTACTCAGCAAAATTTTAGAAATTAATGAAGAAATTATTAAAAGATTACATAACATTTGAACTGATAACATTTGATCCGGAAAAAATGATAATAATCCAATGATACATATAAGAAGTTGTTAGAGACATATGATTGGTTCAAGGTTCCAGCGTCCATTCGTATTAGTATTAAGCTCGTATTTTCTTGCTTTTATTGTGGATATGTTAGGGTTATGCATGAATTAGAATAAAATAACCTAAAGTTCTATAATTAATTGTTACTTTTCTTGCATTAGTTTACTTCCTTATGTGGTTTCAAATCAAAGTTAAGCATAGTTGTATAGAAGGGCCACAACACATCTTGAACCATCTCACTCTTATAAAACTTCAAGATAAAAATGTACAAAAAAATATTGAAAATAATGAGAGATTGAAGTGACCTATGAACCTATCTTAGCCTGTCAAACAAACAATGATGAACTAGTAAAAAATAAATCCTCGATTGCTCTATAGTAGTTCTTGTTAACAAATTAGGAGTTAAGAAGGCACTTAAAGAGGTAAAGGTGTTTTCCTTATTCGCAATAATTTCTTAATGTATAGTAATGCTAATGTATAGAAATGTTCAAAATATTTTAATTGTCTTGAAAATAGTTAAAAAAAATTTTTTGTAGGTAACTGTAGCTTCTAAAACGGTCTTGGGGTTTGAGAGGCGTGATGGATTTATCCGTGCAATAGCAGAAAATAGTGAGAGTTCCTATTTTTAACAACAAACACTTACTTTTAGTTTAGCATACATTTTAAATATTTTTAGTCTCTTTAATAGAATAAAATAAGAAGATAGAGACTTGCGTTTCATTTTTGCTAATATTGACTTTTATAACCTTTATATTGTAAAACAAGCATTTATAAAAGTATGTATGTATAGGAGAATGAAAGGAGGCATGTGCATTATTCCTATTTTTTAAAACTACTTTATATTTACTTTAATTTAAAAAAAAATTAAATACTTAATAAACCGTCTTTATAGGATATTCTTAGACATATATGATTTTGGTCCCGCTCCCCATTTCAGTCAAATTTTGAAAAATTAAGGTATATTTTTGCAAATGCTGCTTTTTTTCTAATAATTTTTTTTTGTCTCTCCTTAATGCATCTACCTAATGGCAAAAAATCTTATGGGCCAACTTTTTTTATGAACGTTGAAAAGTACGGGATGCCTTACACAGGTCAGAAATTTAAGGTTTATGTTTACTATCCGAGTACCCCAAAAATGTTAACAAATATAATAAGTGGGACATCTGGACACTTCATTTTCATATTTAGAAAAATCTGGGAGGTATCACATTTTTAGAAAATTGACATCAATTTTCTAAAAATGTGTAAAAATTCTAAAAGATACCCTGATAAAAAGTCATTATTTTCGTACTTAAAAAAACTAATTATACTGACAGAAAGTTGAAGTTTATTTAAAAGATTTTTCATATACCAACTCTTCAAGGACTTTAATTTAATATTTATACATAAACATTATTAGAATACACAAAGTTGGTCAAAAAACATTTTTTATTGAAAATATTTCTTTTTGACTATGCATTTTTATTTTAATTTTATTAAAGATACCTAATATATTGAATCTATGGCTCCTCTGCTCACTAAGGAGAAGAGAGAATACCATTTTAAAAGAAATCATATACTTTTTCAAAAGATCATTTGCTGTTGCTGCCTTGAAAAAATCAACAAATGCATTCCAGTTAATAAAAATTTGGAAGTTCTGGTAAAAGTTTTCTGTAAGCCTGAGTTTTCACTTTAAGTATTTGCCTACCCTACAGGATTATGCCCAGGTTACAAGAAAAACTTATATCTCTGTAAGGCTAGTAAAACTATGGCAGACACAGTTACTTTAAAATGGAAAAATTCTGATTTGTCTAGCAAACCTCTAGAGATTGCTCAATATTATGCAATATATGCATAATATTGAGCAATCAAGTCAAGGAAGAAATAGATTATTAAATAAAAGTATGAAAAAGGGAACTAGCTCAACACTGAAACTTTGCCAAATATGTTTCTGTGAAATTGCTAAAGGTAAACCCCACAAATGTTCCCCTTTAAAGAGTAGCACAAATCTTTCTGAGAGTATTTCTAAAATTTCTAAAAAAGTAAAAGAACAACTACTTCCCTTCTTAAAGAAATTTATTCTGATCAAGAGCAAAGTCTAGAAGCTCAAGCCATTCTCAGAACAGGTAAATAGCTGTTATGAACGTTATTAAAATAAGAGTTTATATTACATTAAGGAGGTAAAAGTATTCATATTACACTCGGTACTCAGGAAAGTGACCAGAGAAAGATTCCTTATAATGAAGTAGAAGTTTTGGTAAATACGTTAGGA